AGCTGTGTATATCCCCACACAGTCTGCTTTTACCCGTTCTCACGGTCTCTTCGCTTGCAGAATTCTTATATTTTTTCTTCTACCCTGAAGATGGAGGCGATACGTTCCTCCGAAACGTCGGTTAACACCACATATACACGGTGACAAATCCCAGAAGACTGCTTTCTTCATAGTCACTGCCGTGAAAGCCTCAAATCTTACACAGCATTTAATTGGATTGCCAAAACCATGAGACTAATGAACCATAAAAAGGCATACCAAGCGTGTGAGGTCACACCTCAAGCTATGTGGTCTACTGGTAAATCCCTTATAAAAAGGGATGGTTCAAGGGCACTGCCCACACTTCATGGTCCTTTAGACCTGACACAGGGTTTGCTGGAAAAATCAAAATTAGCCCAACATGCATATGAGGAAGGGCACAAATTATGTGGGAATGAAGTGAAGGTCTTGCAGACTGAGCCCAACAAAACATACAAGAAATATAAGGAATGAGCCCACAAGTCTCTGCTGGATCATCTGGTCAGCCAACCCAGTTCAGACATCTCTCCTATCTGCACCCCCTTTATGACAGCAGAAGTCAAGAAACTACAACAACATCCAGTGCAGATTCAGTGGGAAAATTTGTGTTTTTTTTTGTGTGTATTGGTACCACAAGGAGTATTGTTCCTCTCCAGTTATGATTTCTATTGAGATACTTCTCTGGTGCAAGGCCTCATAAGTGTGTTGAGTTTTAATAGTTTAATATTTCCTTAGTTCTCGCAGATGGTTTGTGCTGTGCTTGGCTTGTATACCCTATCTTGGAGCTGGCATAGGGGTTCAGAAATAGGGACAGACTGTATCGATTGGGCCCAACTGAGTAGGTTTTACCTAAAGACAGATAAAATCCAGTCTCTGAAACGTTTTGAAAAATAAACAGGACAGTGCTTTTAGATAAAGACAGGACAATAGATAATGTCCAAAAACATAATATTTGTATTAAAAAACACAACTGTAATAAAAGAAACTGATTACTATAGGATTCTGACAATGGTGTATAACACACAGAGATATTGGGTTTTTGGACTTTATCCATCATCCTGGTTTTAAGATAGCTAAGAAAAACATGACGTTTTGGAAACTGGAACTGTTTCCGTACTCAGGTGAGGGAAGACACTGGATTGAGGATAGCTCTTTCTAAGGGACCCAACAGAATAGGTGTTTTCCCTGACCTGAGGACGGAAACAGATCCAGTTTCTGAAATGTTGTGTTTTTCTTAGTTATCTTAAAACCAGGATGATGGATAAAGTCCGAAAACCCAATATCTCTGTGAAAAGAAACTAAGTTTAACTTTCTTTCTGTGTTGAAGTGCTGCATTTTTAGATCCAAAATATTAATTAGTGTTGGAACTAGTGTTTAGAATTGAGAGATGCATATTTTTTATTTATTAATATATATATATATATATTTGGTGTTTTTATATGATAAGTATTTTGCCAACAAGTGGACATCCTCCTGCTGCTTCTCCTACTCAGCTGACTTCTATGCTGAGTTACAATGCATACATATTTTTCTCACTACCGTTTTTTAAATCATCAATTAAAATCTATTTGATAATACAATATTCAATTTTATACTGAATAATAATATAAATTTTTGGTGATCAGAATGGGATATGTCAATGAAAATTAGCAGAAATTAATTTTGTGATACTGGCCTGAGGAAACTACACAGTGTATCCAGGTTCTGTTAGGACTGTGTTCATTAAAAATACAAGACGTAAATTATTTTCAAAATTTCACTCTTTTATTCAAAACAGTCTCTTTCTGAATCAATATATAGCTGGAATTCATTGAAAACAGTCGCTGTACTCCTTTTGTGGAATTGTATTTAAAACTACAGTACATTCCCTTTGGATGTCCTGGATGGTGTTGTGATGGTCTCCTTTCATTACCAACTTAACATCTGAGAACAACCAGAAATCTGCTGGAGCCAAATATGGTGAATACGGAGGATGATCAAGGACTAAGATCCCTTTTCTGGCCAAATATCTTCGATTTGTGGGGTGGGGCATTGTTATGGAGGAGCAACCAGGAACCTTGCTCTTGATGAAGAAAGCAGTCTTCTGGGATTTGGCAGGATCTGCAGGCGAAGAGACTGTGAGAACCGGTACAAGCAGTCTGCGGATTCTTATATTTTTTCTTCTACCCTGAAGATGGAGGCGATACGTTCCTCCGAAAAGTTGGTTAACACCACATATACACGGTGCCAAATCCCAGAAGACCGCTTTCTTCATGGTCACTGCCATAAAAACCTCAAATCTTACATACTTGCTCATGATATTCAGGTTGAATTCGAAGAATTCTCGCCTACAAACAATTGAGGACTCCGAGATAATAATCAGAATTCCCTGTCTGACCTTCTGGCAGAAATTCCTTGTGAATGATTCCTTTGGAATTGAAGAAGCGGTTAGCAGTGTCCTTACTCGACTCTTTTGCATGCACACTTTCTTTGGTTTCGGCTTCTTTGGGCTCAACCACGCTGCATTCTGCCGCTTTGGTGAGGCTCATATTGAAAACACCATGTCTTGTTACCAGTAACAACTGATTTTGTAAATTTTGTATCACTTTGGGCCAAACGTAACATGTCCTTGCAGTGTTCCACTCTGGCATGTTTTTCGCCTGATAGTGCGTGCAGTACAAACCGCGCATAGACCTACCGTTTGCCCAAATCCTCAGCCAAAATTTCATGCACAGTACATTTTGGTATTCCCAAAAGCTCCTCAGTGAGTCTTGCAGAAACACGTCTGTCTGATGCAAGGATTTCAGTCACTTTTTTTCACATTTTCTTCAGTACGGCTTGTTCTTGGCTTTGATACATGTGGAGCACCTTCAATGTCATCCCTGCCGCCATAAAATACAGCATACCATCGAAAAATGTTCGAGCGACTGAATCATTACTGTACACACTTTTCATCATTTTGTACGCTTCTCTGGCTGTTTTGCCTAACTTAAAACAAAATTGGATGTTGGATCTCTGTTCAATCACCATTTTCCAACAAGCGTCAGAACAGTACTGTTACATTCAAGGTCAGAACACATGATGCAGTGATGCTGGTGCTTTGAAATTACAGAGACCCACAGCTGAAACTTCAAGAATCTTAACGCCACTACTCGCCAACTTTGCAGGGCAAAACTTAAAAAAATGAGTCCTAACGGATCCTGGGCACACCATGTATAATATGCTACAAGATTTCATTAGTCCATTGATTGATAACTAATTTAAATGTAATATGTAATTTTTATGATCATGCCATAATTAATTATTAACACTTATGTTAGTTTAATGTAGGAACTTAAAAAAAAATTGGAAACATATTTAGGATCACTGTGGTCGCAGAGCAAGGGCCAAGAAGGCCCACCCCTTATACATTCATTAGGAGTAAACTTATTGGGACCGGGCCTTTGTCTTGTAAAAAAAAGAATTTGCCGGGCTGCAGTCTCACAAAGGTTGAGAAACACTGATATATGTGTGTGTATTCATTTTCCTTCAGTACATATTGCACCTATACCACCCCTGCATCAATTATTTTTATAAGCAGGTTTTACTGTGATCAACAGATTAAACCATGGAAAATTACAAGAGGAAATTTTTGAGGCAAAGAAGTGGCCATCATTAGTACAAAGGAATGAGTATTCACTCCAAATAAAGTCATCTCAAGAATTCTATCTTTGTGGACTTAACATTGTGTAGTTCACCTAATACTGTTGTAATGACTAAAACAAGAACAATGAGATCATGGTGTTATGTAGTATGAATGAAGGAATGAGAAATGTGTACAACATTTTTGTCAGAAAACCTAAAGATAGAAGCCACATAGCAAATCTGAGCATTGATGGGTGCATGATATCAAAATGGATCTTCCAAAAATCATATGTGAACATGGAGAATACACTGAACTGACTTAGGACAGGATCCAATGATGGCCTTTTACGAATAGAGTGCCTTTGGATTCTACAAGAATGGAATGAAATTGCGGACCAGCTCAATGACTGTCAGCCTTTTGAATTCTCACTGAACATAGGACAACATTCTAATTACTATGTTATAACTGAAGTCACCATCCTTCCCTCTTTATCGGTTTATTTTATAGTCACACTGATCACCTGTAAATGTCTACGGAATCATTTAACAGCATTTTCCATAGAAACGAGTCCAGGACTGGTTAGCTTCTGAATATGGTAAAGGGGCAATTACCTCCAAAAGAGTTTTCTCAAATATTTACTCTATTTACCACTCCACTGGCAAAAGTAAATAATACTGAAAAGCTGGCTTAAAATTAAATTGTAAATATTTGACTTAATGCGTGATTGTAATTTTTAATTTTGTGCACCTATCTTCTGCAATGGCAGATAATAATACTGATCCTCTCATCACATGGTGGTGGTTGAGGCAGTGTGAGGAAAGAGGGCGACCATAAGGAAAACACTGGAATGATAATTGTCCTAATTAAGGTTAATTAATTTTAATCAGGAAACACACCATAACACACGCAATAAGGAATTTTGAGATAACTGTGCAACAATTTAGGAACATAGGACGATGGTCGTATACAGCCGAAACATGTGGAAGAATGAGTAGATAAGTTGCATTTAAGACACAAATATGTGTGAAATAAATAATATATTAATGTAACTGCATGCTTAAATACAATACTGGGAAAAGAAAATATTTAGTGCATCTGTTCTTCCGTGACAATTGAAACTCAGGTGTTTATATAGTGTGTCGCAAGAACTTAACCAGGATCCAGACCCTTTTCTTTGTAATTCGCTTAGTTGGGGGTGGAGTCCAACTGGGTCCACTCGGCACGGCGGCCACTGATTGGCTTATTGTAGCCTGCCCCCGGTTGATTATGATGGAGAATTTGGTGGAATGAAGATTGGCAGGGGAAACCGAAGTACTCGGAGAAAACACACCCCAGCCCCACTTTGTCCACCACAAATCCTACTTGACCAGACCCGGGATCGAACCTTGGCCGCCAGGGTGGGAAACCTGCAACAAACCGCTTGAGCTATGGCGCGGCCTATCCAGACCAACCAGACCCCCAAGCGAAGCCAAATCTTATTTTGTCCTGCATAGCTGCCTACAATGGTCTGTACGGAATTTGTCATATTTACCCCGCTTCTGCTCAATCAACTGCACAAAAATACGATCAGCAACTTCATCAACCTTTCGTGCTATCAAAATAAACAAACAGCCAACATTAATTTCTACACTTTTCCATGGGTGCAAAATACGCGAGCTCCAAACCGTCCGAGCTCTTTGACGTGATTACCACCGCCGGTATGCTTTGTTCAACGCCTAGGATAACATTATCTATACGTATAACGGGGTAGATACACGAGAATCTGGAGGTGAGAAGTGATTAAATCGGTGTACTGAGTACAATAATAAATTAAATTACCAGACATTATTTTTGCAAAATTGAGATTACACTACATCCATTCAAATTGGCCCAGAAAATCAATTGCCTGTAGCTAATTAGTCTCTACAATGACTTTGTTTATTGTTATGGAAGAATCAACATGGCTTCTTCTGGATTTGTGACTTACTTACTTTTTATTTTTACATTTACGTCGTCTACAGGTATTTGTTACTTTGATCATGTTTATTGTTGTTATAAGTATGTTACTATTTGGCAGTTTGTATAGTATTAACGTATGTAATTTAGTAAGTGCAAATCATAGTCTAAACCTCATCTTTTGTTTTTGTTTCCAAGGGCAATGAGCTACGTAATATCTCCATAGGACTTAGATAGTGTGAACTGCGTTAATTAAATCATGCAGTACATTATGTTTCCATTTCCTAATAACGTTGGCTAAACATTTAGGTGATTTAAGGGGAATGCTGCAAGAGAGTGATGATCCTCTAGATCCACCAGAACCTCCTGAGCCTCCAGGAAGTGAACCAGATCAAGAACACTTAAGATTACTAAATGCTCAAAGAAACCTCATTCCCTCTTCTGCTAAAAAGTACAAATGTCATTCCTGTGAAGCACCAGATTGTACAATAACAGCACCATGCACATCAGCACTAGAGGTATGTGAAGTTCTTTTCAAAAAATGGATTAATTATCATAAAGCATGAAGAGGGTATTAATTTGTAATCATGTCAGTCATATTCATATAAATGTTGCTAGATAGTTAGAAAAGGATAGGTCACTTTAATCTAGTTCACATTCGTATGTTTGAATTTTTTACTAATATTTATGTGGTTTTAATTAAGTGGAGAATTACCGCCATGATGACATGTGCACTTGTATCAAGTGTTCTGTCACAGATTGTGCATACTGTATTGTTTTCATGAAATAATAAGTGAATATTGTGTTACATAAGTAATAATGCTCTGAGAAACATATTGTATTACGCAAGTAATAACAATTTTACTGTGAGTCTAATTGTGGATGAAATACAAAGACAGTAAGAATATCAGTTGTGAGACCTTTGGAAAAGTAGGAATCAATGACACCAAATGAACTAGCATCTCACAAATACTTCAGGTTGGTTGAAGAGAATTCAGTGGTCATGCATGGGTTGAATGTATGAATGTATAAGGGGTGGGCCTTCTTGGCCCTTGCACCACGACCTACAGTGATCTATAGTAGAATCCCAATGAGACAGTTTGAAATTTGTTTTACCAGACCATGTTCTTTTCATGACAGTATTAGGAAATACACTGCTTGTCAAAAAGAGTTCACAGAATTGCATCCTTTCATGTATATAATTTTCAAGGGTCCTATGAACAAATCTAAGGTTATACAGACTAAAGCCAATTGATACAGTATGAATTGTACCAATATTTGACTGACGCTAACTAGTGTTATTGCCATGTGAGTCAACTAATGGACTTTGAACAGTAGCCTTTGCTATATCCAAGCGGTTGTTTTCTGTTGTTTTACCAGCAGACACACTTAGTGCTGGGTGCATCCATGGGTCAGTGTAGTGTGACTTTACAAGCATTCTTAATATTGAGCCATATTTTTAAAATTATTGTTCCTTGCATGTTAACCCTTTTGTGCGGTCATTTAAATTCCGCTGCCGTGTCTCTCCGGCAGTAATATATTCAGCTGTCCATTTAAATTTTGCTCAAAAATGATTTATTCATCATTGTTTTTAAATTATATGAGATAGGAACATGAAACTTTCACTAAAATGATCTTAAAAGGTGGTTTTATAACCTTGCTTTATAATATGAGCGCCCGGTATCTCGGCAATGGAAGCAGTTGGTTTAGAATTTGAGCAGTGTATCATACACCTTGAAGCATGAAACTTTCACTAAAATGATCTTAAAAGATGGTTTTATAACCTTGCCTTATAATATGAGCGTCCGGTATCTCGGCAAAGGAAGCAGGTGGTTCAGAATTTGAGCAGAGTGTGGCACGCATTGAAGC